TGGCAAACAAGCATGGAAGCCACACAGAGCAGAGGCTCCACAGGTGTAAGCAATCAAAGCAGCATCCTTCCTGTGTCATAGCAGAGAGCAAAAGACCAACTCTGCTCTGTCCTTTGCCACCTCTCCTCCTTCTGGATACTGCCAAAAGCGTCCCTTCCAGTTAGGCCACTCACTGAATGGGTGGAGTGGCGGAGCCTAGGCAAGACTGTGGATAAACCATCCCCGTGGAGGTCAGTCACTAAGACAAGACAGCACCTCACCTGATGGGCAGTAATGGGTGCTCACTTGCTGGTCTACACTAAGCTTGGGGACAACTGCACCCTCTTGGACCACAACATGCAGAGCTCTGCCTACAAAGTAGCATCATCCAGCCTTTCCTGCTCCAGCTTGCCCAGAAACAAAACTGCCACAGATCCATCCACTAATCAGCCATCAAGATGCTCATAAAGGCCCAGACACTTTCAATAGCCAGAGAAGGGTTTCTTTAGATGCAAATGGACAGCCTAGTCACCTAAGAATCCCATGCTGTCTTCCTGCTTACTTTGCAGTGATTTTGCAGTTTGCTAATCTGTAGCTGCCTGTGCTTTGTGTAATGCATCTGAGGAGGGATTAAGGGCTGGCATCAGTCTCTAGTTAAACAACGCTAATCTTCCTTAGTCTATTTTACCCCTCAAAGATAATACAGTACAGGATCTTTATCCAATTTCCTCTGAATTCCATCATTGATATCAACATTTAAAGTTCTTATTAGATTTGCATCGTTAACATTAATGTAGATATTTACACGTTAATCTTAGCTAATCTTCCCATATTATAGCAATCATTTCTTAGCATACATGATTACAATATAAATCAAATGCAATTACAGAATAATTTGCCAGCCCCTCCTACAAATCCACATAGCAGTGTCTTATGGGTGATGCACCCAATCACCACACATTTAATGGCTTCAGATTATTCTGTTATTGCACAGGTTTCTAAGTCAAAAGTCTAATGTGGTTCTCCTGGGTCAAGCAGGGAGTGTCACCCAGTGGTAGAGCAAGCTTGCAAAGCCCTGACTCAAACTCAAGCACCAAAAGAGGAGGAAGTTAGAAGGCAGATGGCCCGGGCCGCATTCTCTCTGGATGCTTAGGGAAGGCTATTTCCTTGTCTTTTGCTTCTGGGGGCCACCCACCTGCATTCCTTGGCCTGTACACCTCTACCTGCACCACTAGTGATGTTCTGGTCTAGCCTCCAGCTGTTTCCTAAAGAATATATGACATGGGGCTGGAAATACAGCTCATTTGGTAGATTGCTTTCCTAGCGCGCATAAAACCCCAGGATCAACCGATAGCGTGGCACAAAACAGGAAGTGGTGGTGCATGTCTAATCCCCGTATTTAGGAGGCGGAGGCAGGAACACTGGAAATTCAAGGTCATCCAGTGCTGCAGAGAAAGTTTGAGGCTAGCCTGGGCTATATGAGACCTGCCTCAAAAATAAATAAATAATGCTATCGGTTTTGAGTTTCTTAAGGAGGAGCATCCTAATAAAACCCAAGTTTTTAACCAGCATTGCATACAGAGCCTGTAATCTAGCATGTGATTGACATTCCAAGGCCTCAATAGCCTATGTGTGCAGGAGAGGTCGCATTACCACTAACAACTGCAGAAGCTATGTCTATCTAAAAGCAACCAGGGCCCCAAATGTTCCCCCCCATGGGGGTGCCTCTTGGCTCTCTTGCCCTAACCAATCTCTCCTGCCCAGGCTGGCTGTAGAAAGACAGGGACTGCGTCCTAGCACAGAGTGTAACCTGGTCGTTGTTCTAGAAACTTAATAAGCAGAGCCCTGTGTTACACATTATTTCAAGGCAGGGACAACTTGGAAAGTGGGCCGGTATCTTCTGAGGGAGCAGTTTCATTACTAAAAGCCTCATTAGCGTTGAAACAATACATCTCCCATGCATTTAGCAGATACATGAATGCCTTGATCATTACCACATGTAATGTGGGCTCCTCCCTCCAACTGACCAAGCTATTGCAAGCAGCCAGGACAAATGTCCCCTGCAAATGAGGGATATAAGTGAAGGGCCAAAGGCTAATATTAATAAAATTTTAAAAACTTGGGCCCCAAGTCTATCCAGAGAAAGGGAACTTCTAAGGGTAAAGGAAAATTTAACTCCTTAAATCAGGAGTGCCATGGCTGGCACCTGAGCCCCCTCTCAGAGAAGGGGGAGGTGACTGCCCACCATTTATGTCAACATCCCTATGCTGCTAACTGCTGGTCATAAAGGTCCCCTGATGGTTGTAAAGATCCCTCAGCCCAGGGGATTACTGACAGACCCTGTGACCCTGTAACCCAGTAACCCCATGCCCTATCTTATCTTATCTTATCTTATTCAAATGTATCTTGCTTAAAATACATAGTTACTGGCTTTACTCTGTACTTGTATGACCTTAAGTAACCATGGGAACTCTGGAATTTGTGGCCTTCAACCTCATGGTCTTCCCCTTTAAAAGCTTCCCTTTATGGCTGGTTGACATCTCATCTCCACCTCACCACCACCACACCCACTGTGGAGTGAGATCCAAGCTGGCCAGCTTGAACAATAAAGAGAAACCTTTGCATCAGACGGAATTGTCTGGTTCCTTGGGTTGGTCTGGGGCTCTTCGAACCTGGCACAACAATAGTAATGTCTGACGGCATTGTCTGTTTGCGCCATTTCATCCGTTTTGGTGGTCTCCAGTTGCTCACAACATCCCGGTGGAAGCACCTCCAACTGGTTCTCAGTCCTGCCAGAGTCGCCATTAACACCATCACATAGTTTTGCCAACAGCCCGCTACCAGTGTTTAGACCTGGGGATTCCTGGTTTCTCCCAGGCTTCTGTAAGAGGTCATGCAAGCTTGAAGGGGAGAACCAACTCCTGAAAATTGTCCTCTGATCTTCATACCCGTGGCACATGCCCACACTCATGAACATGTATGTACGCACACACAACAATAATAAACAAACAAAATTTTTAAAAAATTAAGCATAAGCCAGGAGTGAATTGGTAAATTAACCAAGTTAGAAAGTACCTAAGCGAGCCTTTATTAAACTTGATATAGCTGATCCACAGTGTGGGGCTGGAGAGGTGGCTCAGTAAGAACACAGCCTGCTCTTCAGAGGACCCAGGCCTGATTTCCAGCCCCCACATGGTGGCTCACAACCATCAGTAATCCCAGTCTCAGGGAACCCACGGGCACCAGGCATGTGTGTGGTACACAGACATACATGCAGGCAAAACATCCATATACATCAAATAAATAAACAAAATCTTAAAAGGAAAAAGCACTGGCGCGCATACACACACACACACACACACACACACACCACATACAGAAATGCCTTGCTGTGCCAATCCAAAATGACATCACATCACGACAAGACCTAAGTCATTTTCCTTGGGTTACTGGCTGGCTCCAGTCAGGTCCGAACTGTCCCAGTACCATTTGAACCGAATCCAGAGTGCCATTCTTCACAACCAAGACCGCTGTCCCCTCTCCCCTGGAAACACTCAAGAGGCCCAAAAGACCCTGCTGTTACCCTTCCTGCACTGACCAAGTTCTTATTTACATTAGCTAGCCTGCCTAGAGTCATCTCTGGTTAAATTGCTGACTCGTGGTGAGCCACCAGAAAGAACAATTAACATGGATGAGACTTCTATGCTCTTCTAGAAGGAAATGGATAAGCAAAATCTGGCGCCCGTATCAATGGAATGGTAAACCTGGGAAAATAGAAATGAGTATCAAGCCACTAACAGGAAGGAGTGCATGGAATGGCAGTCTGGAAAGGCTTACGTTTATTGCTTTGTAAAGTGTGTGTGCTTGTGTTGGTATGTATCCTGAACATGTATATACACTGCAACCTTAACAATGCAGACTATGAAGTGGGATGTGTTCCTTTCAGTCAACTTCCACAGAAAAGTGAGCTCCTCTCTGTGCTGTTCTGGGGATACACTGAAGATGCCTTAGGTGTACACCAGAATATCTACCTCTGTCACGGTGGGCATCCTTGGGGTCAGGGCTTCAGTCCTGGGCTGCTGTTGTTGCCCTAGGCACTTTTAAAATGATTTACACTAAATGTAAACGTAGAGAAGCTTGTCTTGTGGTGTCAACTTGGAAAATGTGAGTGTAGTGCATAAAAACTATACACATGGAGAAAAATGATCCGAGGAGACAGCACTGGACAACGACGTCTCGAGTGACTGGAATAAGGTGCTCTACGGCCCCATCTTATAACTGCCTTTCTTTCCCACATTTTCCTTAGTGATATATAATATTTGTAACCACCTGTTGTTGTTTTTGTTTATGTAAGCACAAGTTTAAAAGCTCATTATAAATATAATTGGTCAAATCTCAAATGAAAGAGAGGAAGAATATCACTAAAGAAATGATTAACAGGGAAATTTGTTGTTCACACTCTTCCAGAAGTTAGATGAGTAAAACTTAAAAAGATAAAAAAAGACAGAAAACAGACACTTCCAAAACGCTAGTCTTGCCCCAAGCCCCTCCCTCTCTGCCTTCTGCCTTTCTCTCCCCTGAAACCCTGCCCATCTGTCTCTTAACTAGCACCTCTGCTGCTGACTTTTGTAGCCATCAACAGTTGTCTCAAAATCATGCGAGCCTCCTCTTTTTGCCTCTGAAAACATCTACATACTTTGCCCTCCTGCAATCCCTCCAGGGTCCACGATTTTCCACCCAGCGTCCAGTCCCAAAAATTTAGCAGTGATATCTTGAAGGACCTTTCGCCCCTTGTTATTTAGGTTCATAACCCTCTAAGGAGCACTCACAAAGTAATTCACCCTGCACCAGGGACACTTCCTATCAGGCTATGAGTAGTCTTCATTCACTCTTTTCAATTTACAGACCTGGCTAAACTTCCTATTCAGTGACTGTCCCTGGGTGTGGCTGCTTGCTCATGCAGTAAGAACCTGCCTCTTCATCCAGGACATAAAGCCTCCACCAGCCTCCTTATCCAGCACGTGGACCTCTGCTCTCTCAGGGAGTTTTCAACAGCAACCATGGCCACCTTCGTGGAGCTCAGTACCAAAGCCAAGATGCCCATCGTGGGCCTGGGCACCTGGCAGGTGAGTGTGCCGTCTTGGGAGACCCGCTGCCTTCCAGAAGGGTCTTGGCATTTCCTTCTCTTTCCACAGCATCAGCTGAGGGTTTGGAATCCTAGAGCCAGGACCTGAACTGCATTTGTACTTTTGCAATGCCTCAGGCCTCATAGCTCTGACAGGCTTTTCCCAGCCATGATGGTAACTTCTCTAATAAATGGCAGGTTTCAAGCGGTCCCTGGACTTTAAGAAAAAAAGGCAGTTACTCTCCTAGCAAGCTTCTGAACTTACAAAACACCCAATATTTTATAACTCTTGACTGTCTTTAGGTTTTTTTGTTTGTTTGTTTTCTTGTTGAGTCATTCAAAGGCAGGAGGACACTGGGCTCCAAATGACCAATCTTTTCTTGCTGCCCATGGGGAAGGACTCCATCTGCAGTATCTGGCCTGGAGCCTATGTGAAAGGCAGAGTCTCAAACCCAAGTCCAGGCTACTGAACTGGCCCCTACCCTTTACCAAGGCTCAACCTGGTTCCGGTGCACCTTAAACTCGAAGCGCCAAGAAGACGAAGACCACAGAGGCCACACAGAACCTGGCCTCAGGTCCTGTTTGGGAGTCTCACTCTCTGGACCGAATGCCTCCAGGCCCATCCCACTTCCCAGCCAAGCATATTCCCCAGCCTCTGTTGAGACAAGCCTGACCCATAGCTCTAACTCTGCCTTTGTATTTCCCTTGGTGGTAATATCACAGTGGCCAGCTTGTTTCCAGTAGTTCTTTGTTTAATTTCTGGAGACAGGGAGTTTAGGTTACCCTAGAATTAACCCTGTAGTTTAGGTTGATCTAAAACTTGCAATTCTCCTGCCTCAGCCCCACAGGCATTACTACAGGCATGAGTCACCTCCAGGAGCTGTTTTTGGAATCCACTCTCCTGTCCTGGTGGCTTCGCCACTGTCTCTGTCTCTTACTCTTTGTACCTGTCCTTTGATCAGCTTGTGGGACAGAGGTAGCATGCCTCTTTGTTTCAGCCCTGGGTTGAAATCTTACTTGAATTTGCTCCATAATAGAAATTTCACTCTCTACCAAGCTGACAAGCATTCTTATCAAAAGTAACTCTCAGAAATTCAAAATTAGAGCTGGACAAGGAAGCTGTTTTCAAGGGAATTGTTTTTAAGATAAGGAGGTGGTATTAAGTGGAGCCTGCTATTATCTATAGCAACTTAGGCAGCTATGGAATGGGGTGGGGGGTGAGGGATCCAGGTATTTCTGAACTGCTAGAGGCCATTCCTTATCCCAGGGAAGCAGACCTTTATCTCTGTGGTGCTTTTCTATGTTTGATACTTAACCAAGATGTTTCTAGGGTTGGTGAGAAAGGAAGAGTCTTTTTTGTTGTTGTTGTTTGGTTTGATTTTCTTTGGTTAATTGAGGGCTTTTTTTTTGTATCTACACTTAATTTGGGGGGCAATTGTGTACCCCAGGCTGGTCTCAAACTCACAATCCCCCTGCCTCTTACTTTCCAAATGCTTGGATTACACATGGGTTGCCACACATACAGTGGCTTGGCTTTTGTTGTTTTGCTTTGTCTTTAAAGCTTATTGCTTTTCATCCATTTACACTGTTGTGTGACAGAGTCTGAATTTATCATATGACCAATGTATTTAACATGGTCTGGGGCTGGAATCCTTCTGGGTATCTTTAGAGTTGAGATTGGCTTTTAGCAAGTTGCCTGTGGGAGCCTCTGTCACCTCAGAGACAAGAGATCCTTTAAGATCCCCTGAATTGATGAGAACTGACTGTTAGCTAAGAGTGAATTTGGGGTGGGAAAACATTACTGTTCACTTTTACTTCCCCTTTGAAACATTAGTTTTCTTCCCCAGTGTCCCCCAGCAATGCTATGGTTTCCAGAAGCTGGGTTGTGTGGAGCCTGTTGAGGAAGGTCTTGGCATAAGAGCATTCAATGGCCTTTTCTGTTGCCTTTTAGTCTCCCCCAGGCAAAGTCAAGGAAGCTGTGAAGGTGGCCATTGATGCTGGATATCGACACATTGACTGCGCATATGTGTATTACAATGAGCATGAAGTAGGGGAAGCCATCCAAGAGAAGATCAGAGAGAAGGCTGTGAATCGGGAGGACCTCTTCATCGTCAGCAAGGTACGATGGCCAGCTTGGTGGACAGTACTTGAAAGCAGGTGAAAGTATCTACTCCACACCATCATTCTCCCAACCTTCTTCCTTGGTTTTGTTATATCTGTGGGTGTGAATAGCCACACTCCAAGTCAGTACTGATAAGGGTCTGCTGTTGGCCTGCCCTCCTATGCTAGCTTTCCCATGACAAGATGCTGAGGTTCCAGTGTTCTTCACTGCCATGCTTTCTGTCAGTGGGATCCTTACACCTAGTCAGAAGCTACGGGGCAACATCAAGGGTCTTGGGGCTAGAGATGGCATGGAGGTTAAGAGTACTTGCTGCCCCTTCAGAGGAACATAAATACGTTGGTCCCCAATACCTACATCAGGTGGCTTATAACTCCTGTAACTCAATAACTCAAGCTCTCTTCTGGCCTCTACACCCACCCACTCACATATATGTGTACATACACGCATGCACATAAGTAATAAATAAAATAAAACTTTTAAAAAAAGGGATGGGTTCTGTGCCACACCACTCAGTACTGTGTCCTCGGTGGCTATGTAGAGAGAGCTTTTTTTTTTTTTTTTTTTTTTTTTAGAATTATAAAATGCTGTTTAAAAGAGTGGGAGGGGGAGTCGGAATGTGAGGTTGTTGATTGGGTATAACTAGCTGGGATACTCTGCTACCCTCTTGGAAATGTCATCTGATATGACTCACTGTATAGTGAGGTGGGCCACCTAAACTGTGATGAACCATTCGGGCCTGGTGCTTGGGGCATATGGGACCATACCCGAGTAGCATCAGAGTGCTAAGTGATCTAAGAAGCACACAGAGTGCTGTAAGCCTGAAAAAAGAAATCACCCTCAACACGTAGGAAATAAGTGACTCATTGAGCCTAGGAAGCTCTAATATCAGATCATGTATGTTAACTAGCCAACTTACTTAAATATAAATAGCTGCCTGCCCTAGGGGTTAGATCAGACTATAAATCGAAGAGCAGTGAGGATGAGCACAGTGTGGCCCTTTCTCTCCAATTCCTAATGTTTCCTTGTCCCACGCACCCTGCAGTTGTGGCCTACCTACTTTGAGAGGAAACTGCTAAAGGAAGTCTTCCAGAAGACCCTCACGGACCTGAAACTAGACTATCTGGACCTCTACCTTATTCACTGGCCTCAGGGACTTCAGGTAAAGGGGAGTAGGGGAGAAGCCTGTCAGCTTTCTGTTAAGTCCATGTCCAGTGATGCCCTTTCAAAAGATGTCTTGGACTATTTATCCTTGCGTATTGACTTTCAGCATTTGACACTTTTGCCAAGCAAATCATGCCTAAGGAGTAGCAAAGCCCAAGTAGGACGGCGTTGGGAAGTATTAAATCTCTGCTAAAACAAAACAAAACAAACAAACACCAAAAGCAAAACAACAACAAACAAAAAAACCCACTGCCCAGGCAGGGCCCAGAGCCCGTCTTTTGCTTGCTGCTGAGAGGCTGGAGAGATGTGGGATACCCAGTATGCTCTCCTCGTTCATGCATAGCTGGGCTGATGGTAACCCTCCGGGCTCTGAGCTTCTGCAGTCAGGGACAGGATCTGGTTACAGGCTTCAGCAAACTCTGCCATTCAGATCTAGCTCTTGCCTAGTGACCCTGAAGTTAAAATTTCCTCCAGGTCTATGAGGGTCTGGGTACGCTGCACTCATTTCCATGGTGGTGGAAATTCCCGAGAGAGTCTTGGACATAGAGTAGTAGATTTGGGAACCAGCCAAGCCTTGTCTGTAACTTAGGATTTACCTACCACAGAAGGTTGGGATAGAGATGCCACTGAAGCTTGATGTCTGCAGGGGTGTCCTTCCAGAGCCTAACCAAAGGCTAAGCAGGTATGGGCATTTGGTAATTCACTGTCCTGGAGCCTTGCTTTATAGGAACAGGTACAGCCAAAGAACATTCTGTTTTGTATTTACAGCCCGGAAAGGAGTTATTCCCCAAAGATGATCAAGGCAACATCCTCACCAGCAAAATAACATTCTTGGATGCCTGGGAGGTAGGTTCCCAGCTTCGAGTGTGCAGTAGAGACTTTGTCGTGTGGTGTGAAAAGGCCCACGTGCCTTGTGTGTAATTCTCTCTCTTTTCCTAGAGCTCTTACTCCTTCCTTACCATGTTTGGATTTGGGGGTTCATCTGGCATCATCTACTTGTTTTTGGTTTTGAGATGGTTCCACAGAATATTGCTGGCTAGCCTGGAAACTCACAGAGATCCATTGGCCTCTGCCTGTCAGGTTTTGGGATGAAATCATTTGTTTTTGAGGTGACTATTAGGATCTCAGTGGAGACAGGAAATACAGATGTTCCTCAGTTTGTGGTAAACATGTGCTGTTTTGAAAGTAAGGGCAGGGGCTTGGTACAGGGATGCTGCCTTGATTTGCATGTTAGCTGAGCATCCCAGGGAAAAGTATTATTGTTATTATTAATTGTGGGTTTCAAGACAGGGTTTCTCTGTGCAGCCCTGAGTGTCCTAGAACTCACTTGACACCTGCCTACCTGTCCCTTCCAGTGCTGGAGTTGAAAGTGTGCACCACCATTCCCAGCTAGCCTCGGGAAAAGAGTGAACGCCTTCAAGCCTGTTGACTCTTATATATTGTGAGAAGGCCAGTGGTACAGTGTTTGCTTCCCAAGCAGAAGAATCCAGAACCCACACAAAGCCAGGTGTGGAAGCACATGTGGCAAGATGGGAGGGAGAGACAGGAGAGTCCCCAGATCTCCAGCCAGCTAGCATGGTACACACAGAGATGAAAGACAAAGAGACCCTGTCTCACAGAAGGTGAAAGTTGAGGAACAACACACGAGGTTGTCCTTGGACCTTGACACCCTTGCCATGGCATGTGTTCCTGCACACGCATGCATAAGCATGCACACACTCACATGATACATCCTACTGATCTCTGTCCTTCAGGCTGTGATAAGGATGAAGAGAGCTAACAGGCAGTGCTTCATCACGGTGCATTAGTTACCACGCCTGTGAGGGAATGTTACTTTCCCTGTGTACAAGTGATGAAGCCAGTAGCCTGGAGATCAGGGACATCGTCAAGTTACACAACACGGGTGTGACACAATTAAGATTAGATTCGGTTCTGTCTGACTCAAAAGTTCAGTTACCAAAGCCTTTAGCACAGTGCTTGACAGTCAGAAAAAAAATAACATGCGCCTTGATTTTTAAAACCAAACAATTCATTCTATCGGCTGTGTTCTTTTGGAGAGCCTAGACAACACTTGATGTGCATAGTGAATGTTCAAGTCTTATGTGAGCCATGGATGCTTTCCTCTAAAAAATCTTCCTGGCCACTGTATCCTCTGGCCACGTCAACAGAGGAAGAAGCAAGCAACCCACTCATAAACAAGCATTGGCACAGATTCCAAGAACTGGAGCGCTGCTTGTCCAGCAGCCCTGAGTTTGTGTTGTGTGTCTCCCTACTTCAAAATGACTTACGCTGGTCTTCCTAAGGGGGGGGGAGGGGGACCCAATGGAAGTCTTTTGTGGTTATTCTATCCAAAAGTGTTCAACCATCAGCACAGCACTGTTACAACTTTGACCTTTAGATGGAGGGTAGCAAGAAAAGTTCGAGAGCAAAGCATGTGACATGAAGAGAGAGAGAAGCAGAGCAGCTGTCCCTTTCTAACAGCAAGACCAGCAGCCCTGGGGTTGTAGAACGCTGTGTTCTGACCATAGCACGGCTATTGCTTTCTTGTAATCAGAGCAGTCTCATGTAAACGCAAGACACTCACAAGACGGGAGCCACTAACATTCCCTGGTGGAATTGGGGGGGGTGGGGGAAAGAGGGTTCATGGGGGTCCTGAGGTAGGCCAGCAGGGGCTCAGGAGCAGCCTAAGAGTCAGCACACAGGGCCCTTCCTCTTGCATGTGGCTATGTAAGAGATTCACAGTTGCTAGGAAGATATTTTCCTCGGTGGTGTGGCAGCCCCGAAGTTGCCCCTGCTTCTTTCTATAGGTAGCTCCTCACTCATGGTCCTGGGAGAAACCCAGTTAAATTATTTGTTTTACCAGCTTAGATTTGGGTGGTAAACCCAAAGGACTTTTGTCGCTTGGCCAGCTGATGGCAGCTTATCTGGGATGAAGGGAGTTTATGTTCTCCTGGAAAAGTTAACACAACACCTAGTGATGTATTTGAAAGGAATTATTCTCCACAAGTAAATCATTGATTTCATCTGCTAGCAACAGAAATCTGGTTTCGAGAAAGTCTAGGGCAAAATCTAGAGGTTGTGGATTTAGTTCGGTGGTGAGGTCTTACCTCCTAAGCACAAGGCCTTGGGTCCAGTTGCCAACACAGTAGGAAAGTAAAATTCAAAAACCTGACTGTATTTCTGTAGTGGATCTTGAAGATTTTCTTCAGGCTTCCTGACCCGGATGGGAAAAGGAAGAATTAAAGTCCTCTAAGATGACCATCAACAATAAAGAGCCACCTAGTCTGATTGATGGCTTAATGAACAATATAATGGTTTTACATGCGTGGAGTCAACAATAACGAGGCCTTTGGCAAAACTTCCAAGACAGCCTAAGATTTCAGTATTCATTTTTGCATTGAAATGAGTGTAATAACTTGGCATGATAGCTTGTCATACATGACCATGTAAATAATTTAGTAATACTTCATGGTGAGATGTGGAGACTACCCAAGTTCTGGTTCTTACAGTGAACTAACTATGGCACTAACTATGATGATTCTGTGGTAGTCAGATACCTAAGGGTATCTCCCTCATTTGCTTATCACTATGTCCTGTGGCTGAATCCAGTAATTATTGCTACAAGGATGTAAGTAGACAAGCTGCAGGCTCTGCTTAGAGAGCAGCAGGCTTAACCATGGAGCAGTTCTTTGGAACAACAACTGATCCAATAGACCCCTCATTGAAATCCAGAAAAGTGTAGGAGAAACTGATGTGAAGAAGGCAAGGCAAATCATATATGCAAACCAACGTTAACTTCTACACAAACACATTTAAATGGTCTCATTCCACTGTGGGGAGTTCTGGTCTCATCAGTGCTAAACAGTCCTGCCTAGCAAAGCCCTTCCTTGATCACCCTGTTGGCTCTCAACATTGTAGGCTAAATTCACCAGGGAGTTTTGAACTTCCTAAATCCTGTGCTGCATCCCAGAGGAAGACAGTAAGAAGCCAGGAGTGGTCTGGAATGTTCCCCAACTTACTTACTTTTCTCTTTCCTTCCTTTTTTCCTTCCTTCCACTCCTCTTACATTAGAACTAAACCCGAGCCATCTTAGGCTGTAGTCCTCCTACAGCCATCTAAACAATGCTCTTCACTGGAACAGGTCATGGAGGAACTGGTGGATGAAGGATTAGTGAAAGCTCTGGGCGTCTCCAACTTCAACCACTTCCAGATTGAAAGGCTCCTGAACAAGCCTGGATTGAAACATAAGCCAGTGACCAACCAGGTAAGTTTTGCAAAGGGGTCCTGCTCTATGGCTGCTTCAATACCAGGAGGTAAGTTCCATACGCTCTACTGAGTCTCATCTCTGAGGTCTGTCTGTGTTCAGGATGAGTACCAAGGTGGGAGGTAGACCTCGGGTCTGGTCTACAGCGCATCTCTCAGTGGGTTGTGTTCGGCCTGTGTGTTGGTCTTTTTCTAGAGTTGCCTCAGGAAGGTCGACTTCCCCTAACGATGGATGTGACAGAGGTGTTTTCTCTTCCAGGTCGAGTGTCACCCATACCTCACTCAGGAAAAACTGATCCAGTACTGTCACTCCAAGGGAATCACTGTCACAGCCTACTGCCCCCTGGGCTCCCCCAGCTAGGCCTTGGTGAGGCTTCAGAGTGGTGACTTTCTTTTATCATTCTTAAACTTAGTGTTTAAACAGGTATGAATTTCTTATGCACTGGAAAAAAATGTGTCTATAGCAATATATCTGACATGCCCAAAAAGGATTATGGGATAGGCACAATGCTTTAACAAAAGACAGGGTGCTCCATGCTAGATCATGCTTACAAATTTCTGGGTTCCAGAGCCCATGGGTGGACCACAGGGAAGGCCTGTTCTGCAGCTGGAGAAGGCTGTGGTGCTTGGCCTTGATGCTGTCATGGAAGTGGGGTTCACTCTCATGTAACAGCCCTGGCGATTTGTTCACTCCAGCTATCTTTATGCCTTCAGGGCCAAACCAGAAGACCCTTCACTCCTAGAGGACCCCAAGATCAAAGAGATAGCTGCAGAGCACAAGAAAACCTCAGCCCAGGTAAAATATGGCTCCTCTTCCTGTTTAATCTTGCAATCCTGTCTGTTTGTTTGTGTTTTAAGACAAGGTTTCTCTGTGTGGCCCTGGCTGACCTAGAACTCACTTTGTAGTCCCGGCTGGCCTTGAACTCAGATCTTCCAGCCTCTGCCTCCTGCCTTAATTAAAGGCATATGTTTTGTTTTGTTTTCAATAGTCTTGTTTTATTCTTTTTGTTGCCTTCTTTTAATCCCTTGAGGAAGACGGCATGGCTGTATCAAATGAGGGGTTCATCAGCCTCCTGCCAAGTCCCCAGTCCTAAGTAGAGAAATCATGGTGTTGCTTTCAGGATTAAGGGAGATAAAGAAGCCACAGGGAGGAGCTGTAAAGATGGCCTTTGTGTTAGTTACTTTTCTCTGGCTGCGATAAGATGCCATGACCAAGGCAAGTCAGAGAAGAAAAGGGTTTCCATGGGACTTCCGGTTCTGGAGGGGTAGGCATGGAGCATGGCAGCAGTTGGGCAGGCCCTGGGCTGGAGCTCACATCTCAACCCACAAAAAGATGAGAGCACACTGGGGCTGACATAAGTCTTGAATCCTGAAGCCTTCAGTGACATAGGTTCTCCAACAAGGGCACGCCCAATCCTTCCCAAACCCTCCCACTAACTGGGGACCCAGCGTTCTAAAACATGCACCCGAGGGGCCGTTCTCAATTAAACCATCGTTCTCCTTCACTTTTGTGCACAGGTTCTGATTCGGTTCCACATCCAGAGGAATGTGGTGGTCATCCCCAAGTCTGTGACACCTGCACGCATACTTGAGAACTTTCAGGTGAGGTCCTGGCCTGATGGTCTGCCATGTATGTGTGGGAGGGCTCTCAGTGGCTTCTCATCCCATCCTGCAGCGTTAGGGATGCCCCTAAATTCTCATCATCTTGTGAACTCTTGTGCCTGGGAGACGGCCTCAACAGAGCTGAGATGAATCACCACTGAGCCACATTGGCTCAGGGCAGGGCCAGAAAGGCCCAGTCAGCTCTGAGCACAGGTGTGCCTTGCGCACAGTGACGAGGCTTGATTTCCCATTAGCACTTAGATCAAGGGCTATAGACTATTCTACCCAAGTGCAGACTTCTCCTGGCCTTCACAGCAACCTTTTAGCTGGAGAACAGGTATGGATTGGACTTGAAGAAATGTCCTTCTGCAAAGAAGCATGTGTTCTTGAAAGGAAAGGATGCCTGTGGTCTCAGCCATCTCCTTGCTAAGGAGCGTTGGGACTCAAAACCTTCCAGGTCTTTGACTTCCAGCTGAGTGACCAGGAGATGGCCACTATCCTCAGCTTCAACAGAAACTGGAGGGCCTGCCTGCTGCCTGAGTAAGTGGAGTGAGGTTATTATGTGAGCTTTCTAAAGTTGTAGAGGGTTAACTGGAAGGGTTGGAAGACATCCAGGGTAACTTTTTATATTCAAGTACTATTTTATGGAAATTGTGGAAATGTAAAGGTTGAGTCACTGGAAGTCATGCATGCTAATTACTGCTGATTCTGTGAGTTTTCCACATAGAGCTAGAGTTTTAACAAAGAGCACGTTGTTCTGTAGTTGTCCCCCCCCCCTTTGGGGGGTCTGCCACCCAATCCCAAATAAATACATGGAGGCTTATTCTTATTTATGGATGTCCAGCCTTGGCTTGTTTCTAGCCAGCTTTTCTAACTTAAATTATCCCATTTCTTTTTGCCTCTGACTTTCTTTTTTTTTTTTTTTTTTAACATTTCTTTATTCTATATATCTTTCTTTCCATCTAACTACATGGCTGGCTGGGTGACTGTGTGGCTGTGTGGCTGGCTGGCTGTGTGGCTGGGGTGACTGTGTGGCTGTGTGGCTGGCTGGGTGGCTGTGTGGATGGGGTGGCTGTGTGGCTGGGTGGCTGTGTGGCTGGGGTGGCTGTGTGGCTGGGGTGACTGTGTGGCTGTGTGGCTGGGGTGGCTGGACCCTGGTGTCCTCCCTCCTCGCCTCCTTTTCTTGCTCCTCTCTCTCTTCCCTAGATTTCTCCTCCTATTTATTCTCTCTGCCTGCCAGCCCTGTCTATTTCTCTTTCTCCTGCCTCACCATTGGCCATTCAGCTCTTTATTAGACCAATCAGGTGTTTTAGGCAGACAAAAGTAACACAGTTTTACAAAGTTAAACACATGCAAAATAAGAGAATATGACCCGGGGCCAGCCTGGTCTACAGAGTGAGTTCCAGGACAGCCAGGACTGCTTGACAGAGAAACCCTGTCTTGAAACACCCCCCCCCTCAAAAAAAATTAGAATGCAACATATCTTTGCATCATTAAACAAAGATTCCACAGCATGAAAGAATGCGACCCATCTTAAGCTAGTATTCCACAAGCCTTTGCGGGAGGCAGAAGCACTTCCCCATTCACTCGGTCTCTTAATGGCTTATCTGCAACTCGATGCATGCCAGCAAGTTCCAGGTGTTTGGCATATCGAACTATACAGGCCTCATGTTTCCCAGTCTTGTATTCTAGCAACATCTGAGGTTACTCTAAGTGTATATGTCAGACAGTAACCGATGCCACAGGGAAAAGGTGTGGGAAGTGGTGCATCCTGGTGGGCTAGCTTTACATGTGATGATCCAGGGCGGCTTTGCTGATGCATCAAGTCACGGTTAGAAGAAGCGAAGGAAGCACCACGTGATATTAGGAGAACACCTTTCTTAGCAATCACAGCCCTGAGGTAGGGAATTTAGGGCACTCGAATAAGGAGGCCAGTGAAGCTGCAGTAGATGCGTAAGGGCTACTTCGGGAAGAGGTGAACTAACTCAAAGACAACCTTGAAGCTAAGGGCATGCAGGTGGTACAGACCACGGGACTTTGACTTTAGAGTGAAAAGCACTTGGAAGCCAGAGGGGCTGCGAGCAGAACCTGGTGTGATGGGACATGTCTGAAAAGTTCCACGCCGACTTCTGCATCGAGAGACCACAGGCAGCCTACTATAATAACCCAGGGAAGAGAGGTCAATAATCAGACCTGGCTTCCGATAGAAGAAAATAGACGATTGAATTTGCCAAAAAAAAAATATGGTTTTGCTTGCTTGGTTTTGGTTTTGCATGAGCAATTCAAGGACAGAATTGTCATTTAGAAGTGAAGGTTTTAGCTTGAGACATGTTTGTGATGGTGCCTACTGGTCATCAAATAGGCAATGTGAGATAGTTAAGTGAGTGGAGGTAATAGATTGGTCCATTCAGGGGTAAACCCAGCTGCCTTGTAATTGAAACTTCAGTCATTCAATAGCTGTGAAGTCTCGAATGGATATGTAACTTTGCCAATTCTGATTCCGTATCTGCAGAGTAGGAATGATAATACCAAATATAGCAAATACCCATGGAATACAAGTTTAGGATTTATCAGAGATCCTAGCTCATGGCTTATCTTACCTTGTTTAATACAACAACCATTATAACAACCAATCTGTGGATCCCATCATGGTTTCCGACTTTTCTGTAATATGCAATGAACTCTAACAGTATTTGTGAGGCCCATATAAGAGTGTCTGGACTGGGGAAGGGGCTCAGTTGAGAGCATGTTTATCTGTATGCATGAATGCTTGACTTGGATCCCCAGTAGCACACAAAACCAGGGTTCTTCATACATATATATATTTATCTATTTATTTTTAGGAGATCAAGGAGGGGTGTATGGGAGATTTTGGAGGGAGGAAAGGAGGGGGAGAATGATCATATTATAATTTCAATACATAAAAGAAATAATTAAGAAAATAAATAAAACTTGGCCCAGTGGCCCATGCCTCTAATCACAGTCCTATGCAGGGGTCATAAGTTCAAACTTGTTCACTACATAGAGTTCAGCCATCCTAGGGTACATGGGACCCTGTCTAAAAAATACTAATAGAAGGCACTAACATTTTCTCCATGCTTGTCAGCTGCAGTATAGTAAACATGGAAGAATATCCCTACGATGCGGAATATTGAAGCTTCCCTCTTCCTGAGTGGCCGTTTGAGCCAAGCCTCCCTGACACCATGCTCCAGGCAACGCTGTACTTAACTCCTCATGCTAGCCCAGGGCAGTCTGTGTTCAAGGAAATGTGACTCTGAGAAGCGAATGGGCAACTGATTTGATTTGATGGAATGTTTGTCAAAAATCAGGAACTCTGGTAACAATGAAGGACATAAGAATAGAACAATAAAAACCACATTAACAAACATATCCAACATATTCTGTTGTGAATTTTGAATGAGTGACTTGTTGGGTCCAACTCTTACCCTTCACATTTTACATAGTATGAAATGGAGATGTGGCCAAGCCAAGAACTGGATTGCTTGAAGTCCCTGAGTAGGAAGTGGCTAAAAGTAAGATTCAAAGGAAGGTGCTCTCAGGGAGAGCGCTAGGCAATCTGATGCTCCCATCCTCCCAAGCCTTCTTTCCTCTTCTGTTTCCCTGTGGCTTTCTTGGCACTTTCTTCCCCAACCTTGTGCTCATTGACTCCCCTACTTTTTCTGGCTGCTGGCTTTAGAGTTTCTTCTTCAGAAGTACTGACATCTTTCTGACTTCTGATGATGCTCTTATGAAGAAACATGCCATCATCGTCATCATCATTGTTATGTTGTTTTGAGGCAGAGTCTCACTATGTAGCCTTGACTGTCCAAGAACTACATAGACCAGACTGACCTCAATCATATAGAGATCTACCTGTCTCTGCCTCCCCAGTGCTGGGAAGGCATGCATCACTACCATCCAGCTCCATCTGAACACATTTACATTTCATTTTTTTTCCTTCAGTAGCTTGTCTGCTTTTGTATTAATTGGTTCTTCTGGCTCTCTGGACTCCGTAGTGTTCTATGTACAGTGTAGATTGGTAAAGGTTGACAACTTTCCAGCAACATTTGTCCCAAGGAAGATAGTTAGAATCTATGGCCTTCACTAAATGATCCCTTCCCTTGAGTGTAGGGAGACCCTGTGAATACGATGAGATTACAACATATTTGATGAAACAAGGATTGAGGTGGATGTAACTGTCTTAAAGCTGCTGAGTTTTAGATAGGAAATCCTTAGGGAAGGTATGACTTATCTGTGTCACTTTTGTTCTCAAGACAATCACTTGTGCGGAATGTGACAGAGAATAAGAGAAATGATAGGGTAAGCCATAATTCCTTTTCATTTCAGTAATCCAGACTCACCAATAACAGGGCTTGTTAGTAGACTGGGTGCATATCCAAAATCAAGATAAAAGCTCACTGAGTCTGTGCAGTATATCCACTGCTCTGCTGAGAACAATACTCATTTCAGGTGTGTGCTCCTAAATAAGGGTTTCACAGTATGTGACCCTGAGCTTGAGTTAAAGGCTTTATATTGATACTTTAAACAGGTGTTGCAAAACAGTAGAGGCATACTCATAATGAACCATCTTAATGCCTCTTGACTTAAAATGATACGGAATAGCAAACAAAAACAGAACCCACGAACAAGGAAAGAGGCCACAGCAAAAGGGAGAAGGGGGCATGCTTTTTATGACCAGCAGCTCATTTTCCCTGTGGTTTGAGGGCTGATTGCGTTTGCATTTTCCAGCTGTGGGCAAATCGCATCTCAGTTCTGAGACAGATTTCCTATTGTTAAAAAAAAAAAAAAGTCTACAGCTGTGAAAAGTTACAAAAATGAAAGTATACCCTATAGAACTGGATGGAAATGAGAAAGAACGCTTGGTTTTCAATACACTGATCTAGCAATACAGACACAAATACTTGTCCAACTATAGACCACACATGTACCATTTTCCACTAAGAAACTAGAGTGTTGAGAAAAGCCAAGGCTATGAGGCTTCGAGTTTAAGATCAGCAAATGATAGCCCTGGTGCTAGGACACAGAAGCCAGCTCAAATAGAGCATATACACAGATACTGACATTAGTCAGCAACAATCTAGTGAATGGAATGAAATCCAGGAGAATACATGGGCACACATAAACAATAAAGAAACAAGAAAGCCTCTTCAAATATGTTGTCACCCAATCCATCCACAAGAGATGATTGAGAGGAAAAGCCATGTTGTAACAACCATATTACCCTTAATCCATTCAAGAAACATCAGGAAATGTTTAAGTTAGTAAGTAAATATTGGCCTTTTCACATATTAGTTACTTATTAAATTTTTTTCCTGTTTACACAGAACCCTGGCTGTCTATTTGTAGACTAGGCTGGCCTTCAACTCATAGATCTGCCTGCCTCAGCCTCCAAGTGCTGGGATTAAGGCGTGCGACATCACTGCCCAGCAATTCTTGCCTACTTAACCACTAATGGAAGAAGCAGCCTTAGGGGGGACAAGTCTGACTTTGGAGTGGGTGTGGCTCTTAAGCTGCCACTTCCAAAA